CAGCAGATGGCACTGTTTTACTTTATTTAGGTAATAGAGGTGTTTTGTTTTCTTTCTCTCTCCTGAGTCCTTTAGACTCTTACAATTTAGACTCAACTTATTAAATTACACAGTATTTTTGAGAGTTAACTTTACACTTTTTGATCTAAAAATAAATATTATAGAATGGGGCTGGTCCAGATTAAAAAATAATTCACACTTTTTTTTTTAGTCAACTTGAACTTTCTTAAATTCTTTTTATTTTTTAAAAATTGTTCTCATTTTTGTAAACGACAGGAAAACCCAGTTTATTTTATTTTGTTCCTTGGCTTTATTTCTGAGAATGGTCAATGTTGAACAGTACTTCTGGAAATAAAGTTTAAATTATATTTAAACTAATGTGGCATAGTTAAAAGTTTCATTGGGCTTCAGTTTCTCACCTGTAGGATTAATCCTTTCAACTCTGAAGTTTTTGAACTTGAGAGTGAGTCGGCAGATCTTGGTTTTATTCAGAGTACCCCCAAATATACACTAAGTGACCTATAATAAGCCATTTGAATTTTTTGCCAAATTTTTAAAATGAGTTTAATAAATCTAGTCTGCATACTACTATATTTAACTTGTAAAAACATTGTCAAGGTACTGTTTTAAAAATCTGAATTCTCGGACTTCCCTGGTGGCGCAGTGGTTGAGCATCTGCCTGCCGATGCAGGGAACGCGGGTTCGTGCCTTGGTCCAGGAGAATCCCACGTGCTGCGGAGCGGCTGGGCCCGTGAGCCATGGCCGCTGAGCCTGCGCGTCCGGAGCCTGTGCTCCGCAACGGGAGAGGCCACAGCAGTGAGAGGCCCGCGTACTGCAAAAAAAAAAAAAAGTCTGAACTCTCTATAAAGAAATATTGATATAAGGAATTGAAAGTTAAGAGAACCTTCAAACTTTAAGTAGAAATACAAATCATTAATAATGAATTGTTCAAAAATCCATTTCTATTATAATCATGATCATTATGATGAGCAAGAGCAAAATTGTTAGTATTCAGTTTCCTCATGTGGTCATTTTCTCTTCAAAATCTGAAGAAACTTTACCTTGTATCACTTACTTAGGTAAAAATACAAAAACAATACACCAAGCTACAACCTAACCTCCCCCACCCCCCACCCCGACAAAACCCCCACAAAACAGTACCTCTTTTGAATGTATGTATAAGAAGAACAAAAAAAGTCTCTAATTAGAACTTTCTAAAAGCATTTCTCCCCAATTAGAGTGCAGTAATGACTCTAAATGGCACTGTCTGGAGGACAGCTCATCAGTTAATTATATGGAGTTCTCTAAATTGAGGAATGAAGAATGATACTAAATTTCAATCAGTGCAGATAAATATGGCTTGTCATTATTCACTTGATATTTTAGACAGTCCATCTAAAGAGGAAGAGGTGGAGCAGAAATATTATTAACTGTCTTTTCTAAAAGAACAGAGATTATGAGAATAAAACTGAATGTTTATCCAAGACTATATTCTTGTCTGGAGTATGTTTTTTATAGTCATTCAATTCCCATGATCCCCAGAGACTTTCATTTGCTTGCCCTGTTTATTTTCCATTTGGCTCTGTCAAGCAAGGGAAAACAATATGGCATTTCTATTGTTGTACCTAATAGCCTGGGAAAATGGACACATTTCAAAAATAATAGTTATGTAATTTAAAAATATGTTGATTGAAGTTTCAATTCCTTTTAATCTTTGTGTTCCAGCATAATTTAGCATTCTGTAGCCTGGTGATAAATATCTTAAAAATTCTATAACTTACTTATGTTTATCTGTGAGACAATTCTACCTGTTCAACTTTAAATTCTTAGGGTTAAATGCAAAGTAAAGAAAATAATTGTTTAAATAACAAATTGTCAATACATATTATTTATCCTAACAATTTTCCAAATTTGTTATTTTCTACTATTTTTTATTTTCTTCCACTTACATTTCAATATTCTTCATGAGCCAAAGTTATGCTTTGCTTATTCATGTTCGTAGAATTCTCAATCATGTTAAAAACAAATATGGGTTTTGTTTATTGTCACAGATATTCTCTTGATCGTTATTCTCCACAGTCATTTTATTCATGAATTGTAATTTGGGGACCAGACTCTGCTTAGAAATAGCCCTTCGTGTTTGCTCCTCTATTCCCAGAGGAGTTTGCTGCACATGTCTCGATCCTTTTCCATCTGGCCTCTGCACAAAGGGTTTACCCAAGTTTAATACAATTCTTTGTTTTATAGAGGACCTTGAGTTTATCTGAGAGTGAATACATGTGAAACAATAACCGTGTTGCTGGAGAACCTGATCTGACCTTTATTTTTATCCCCGAACCCAAAGATGACAGAGAAACTACACTTAGCCAGCAACAAAGACTAAAGAAGGTAAGGACTGTAATGATGACAGAGCTGAAGCAGAGCTGCAAAAAAGTGAATATGAAGGGTCTGATTTTTCTGGGTACTGTCCATTATTACAGTGCTTATGTTTACATGGCTTCAGTAAAAACAGAAAAAGCTTGCTACATTTTTATCACTTTTTTATCAATATTTTATCTTTTTGTCAATATTGTTTATTTTTACACATCTTTATTGGAGTATAATTGCTTTACAATGTTGTTACTTTCTGCTGTACAACAAAGTGAATCAGCTACATGCATACATATATCCCCATATACCCTCCCTATCGCACCCCTGTCAATATTTATATCACTGAAGAAACTATGTGAGACTTTTAGTTTGTAAGACATTAACAAGAAAGGGCTGCATTTATATACTGATCTATCCATGCACTTCATTGCAGTGTATTTTCTGCAAAAGAAAAACGTTTCTAATTAAAGTGTTAATGAATTTAAAAATGTAGAACTCTTCTTCCTTCGGTGTAAATAAAATCATAAGTTTCCTGAAACCTCATATTTAACTGAAAATCCTTTTAAAACGCATGCTGCCCACAGTGTTTAAGTCAACTGATTTTCTTACTCTGTGTTCATGTTATCCATTTTATTTTCTCTGAAAATATTCACTTTTATAAGGAAATACTTAAGAATCAAGAATTATGTGGCAATTTTGTCTAGTAATAAACTGGAGAAACACAAAATCTAAATAAAGAATAAACACCTAAAGGCCAGAAAGAAAACACACATGTAGACACACACACACACACACACACACACACACACACACACACACGGCCTTACACCATGTAGGTGCTTTGTTTTTACTTTTTTTTTTTAAATTTTTTTGTGGCATGTGGGCCTCTCACCGCTGCGGCCCCCCTCTCACCGCTGTGGCCCCCCCCAGACCCAACTGCTCCGCGGCATGCAGGATCCCCCCAGACCGGGGCACGAACCCGCACCCCCCGCATCGGCAGGCGGACCCCCAACCACTGCGCCACCAGGGAAGCCCAGGTGCTTTGTTTTTAATAATTTATTCTAAAATGTATTATACAAAGCCATCTCAAAGACTTTATTTGGGTTTAAAAGAGTTTTAGATGTTGATACAGGTTGTGGATTTCAAATAGAAGAATTACTGGTATTGAAAGATGGCAACTGAAATCTGGAACCGAACTAGGTACAGGTTACTTTGTGAGGATCAAAGAAAAAGATTAGAACCCCACCTCCCTGCCTCCCACAGTATACCAATGTTTTTTATTAAAACATATTTTTAGGTTTGTTTTGACATATCCTTTTCAAACAGCTTGAAACACATATTTATAACATAATTTTACATTTGAACTTTAAAAAAATACTCACTTTGAAGTAGAATATAAAACTACATTTTAAAACATTTCTCTCTATAATTGGCCTATGGAAGGGAATAACCTTTGAACACGTCTACTCATCTTATTCTTCAAGGGCAAGGTGCTTTTTTTTGATAGCCACTCTGACCCTTCCCAAAGTGCTCACATATAATATCCCCTGTATTTGTCAGCAATGCTGGATCTTGAAGTAATCTGTGAGTGAATCCTTACAAATGGGTCCAACTTGCCAAAGGCCAAGTGGCTGAAAAGAAGCAAACAGCAAGTCCAGCTTGCTTCATCTTTAGTAGAGGAAATTCACAAGCTTCTGTAGATCGTTGTGTTAGGAAAAACAAGTTTGTCATTAGAACGATATTACCACTTCCCCACTCTAAGCCTGCTTAAGGGAGTCCACTCATAATTGCTGGCTCAGCTTGCCTCCATTGCCAGAACTACAGTATGCCCCAAACTGTCCACTGGGTTGATTAGCAACAAACAACAGAGGGGCAAACTGATGATCACTAGCATCTCTAGTTTTACCAAAGCGTGCTAATTGGGTCTAAACACTTTGTTTGTTAGGACTGCAAAGGTATAAGTAATGCCCTTTACAGGAAAGGGGAAAAAAAAAACCCTAAAATCTTAAGGTGACCAGCCCAAGGTCACTGAGGGAAGGCAACCGAGACTGGGCTCTTCAATGCCTCGGTCCTTTATTGGGCCGGAGCCAAACACGACACCGTCCAGGAGTTTCAAAGCTGCGTAGTAGAACAGCTAGCGTGGGCAGTCCTTTTGTACTCCAGCTTGTGTAAAATTAACGCAGCCTCCCGTTCTTCCATCGCTGCCTGACAGCATCCAGCAAATGGGTGTAGGGTTAAGGAGAGCAGAACCCAGCTGTCCTTTCTTAGCTGAGTCTTTGGACTAATTGGGACCGAGGAGTGTGAGAACCGCGGGAGAGGGGCTGGGGTTGGGAGGGGGAAACGGGAGCAGCTGAGAGCAGGACGGGGGACAGGAAGGAAGCTGGGGTGTGTGCCTCTTGGAAGGGAAGGGAGAGTGAAAAGGGGGGCCAAACTCAGGCTAAGAGAATCGGAGCCCGCTGCCTGCAAGAGGGGGCGAAGCCAGCTAGTAAGAGAAGGGTAAAAGCGGGAAGCAGAGGGAAGGGAAGTAAGGAAAGAGGAAGGAAAGCCAGAAGGGTTAAGAGGAAGAGCG